GTTACATAAAAAAGACTTGGCAGTCAACTGAAAAAGCTTCCACTGACCAAGAGACAATTTAAGCATCAATAAGATTAATCAACTGAAACATAATAAATACATTAAAATCCATTAGTGTGTTATAATACTAAACAAATCTCTTGGTTGGTTTAGTCACAAACCCTCATTAGTCATTTTTGGAGGATGTTGGTGAAACAACTCATTATTTTGAAACCTGGTAACTACTGGAAAGAATCAAGCATTTATCGTAAACTCTCCTATACAGACTGTATCTCAGGATAACTAAGTAGTTGATCACTGGAAGTTTACAGGCATAGAAGTAGTCAAGCTGGCAACTACAGAAGGAAACAGAATTAGAATAGCACTGTTTTGCAACCCCCAATGAAATGATGGCTCCAGTCAATAAATGTCAATTATTCCTTATACCATAAAAAGAGAAACTAGGTATTATGTGCCTCCCAATAGAAGTACAAACATTGGCTGGTTGCAGTGGCTCACGTCTGTAATCCTGACACTCTGGGCGGCTGGGTGGATCACCTGAGGTCAGGAGTTCCAGATCAGCCTGGCCAACATGGCGAAACCCCATCTCTAATAAAAGTACAAAAAAACTAGCCAGGTGGCAGATGCCTGTAATCCCAGCTACTTGGCAGGCTGAGGCAGGAGAATTACTTGAACCTGGGAGGCAGAGGCGGCAGTGAGCTGAGATCGCGCCATTGCACTCCAGCCTGGGTGACAGAGTGAGACTCTGTCTCAAAAAAAAAAAAAAAAGTACAAACACCACCTATTAAGTATTCACACACCAAAAAAGAAGTACAAATATCACCTATTAAGTATTTACAAAAAAAAAAAAAGAATTGAACCAAAATCTGAGCAAGCCTCTAGATCTACTACTAATTGGGACAGAGGAACAAGTTCAACTAAATATCAGAGATGGGATCAGTAAAATCGAGATGGATGGAAAATCTATAAATCAAGTAATCTAACTTCAATCTATATATTAAAATACTTGAGAGAGTATCAACTGAAATGTAGGGATCACATCTGGATCCCAACTGAAACAAATAAATCATATTTTAAAAATTTGAGACAATCAGAGAAATTTGAACACTAAATGGATATCTGATTACATTAACAAATTACTGTTTTTAAGGAGGAATAATATCTTTTTTAAAAATACTCATGACTTTTTTCAGAGATGCTGAAATATTTACAACTGAAATGGTATGCTATCTGGGACTTACTTCTGAATAATTTGGGAATGGGGGTATAAATGGAGCTAGTATTGAAACAAGACAGATAATTATTCTATCAATAAGAATTTATTATTGTTGTAGTTAGATGATTATTACTTAGGGGCTTATATTATTGCTTCTTATTTGCATATGTTTGACAGTATCCATAATAAACAGTTTTAAAGAGAAATGAGGAAGCTGAAATTCTGGAGGGTACAGGTACAAACAATACTGAAAACAAGAGCTACCATTTACCTAGTGCTTACTCTATCCTTGGTGCTGGGCTAAGTGTTTTACACATTGTAGCTTCTTGACATTTCACAACCTGTATGAGATAGGTGCTGTTAACATACTAGTTGAAAAACCCAAGGTCCAGAAGTGTTAAATAGGTTGTCTAAAGTAGTCCAGTAATTGGCAGGATTGTGATTCAAACCCAAGTTTGCCTAACTCCAAAGTCCACCCCACTTTGTGCATCAAGTGCTGGAGGGATGGCTTGCATGAGGGATATGAAGGATAGAAATGTGTGTGAATGGGCCGGGCGCGGTGGTTCACGCCTGTAATCTCA